AAAAAAAAAAAAAAAAAGAAAAAAAAAACAGTAGCAAATCTCGAGTAACGTACGACTATAATACATAAGTAAAAATTGCGGGAAAAATTGGCGAATCAGAGGATCGTTTGAATTATTATTAAGGGAGTGGGTGGAAAGAAAGAAAAAAAAAAAAGTATCACGATTCGTTCGGGAGGAAGGCTCTGTTTCTAAGCGGAACAGCTGTTCCACCCCCTCCTGGCCCGGTCTCTTCTGGGAGATCTGCTTATATTCGGTCTATCTGAAGGAACTATCGTGCGGAGGTGGTTTTCGAGAGGGCAACGGCGAAGGTAGGTAGCTGGAGCAGCTGGATCGGTAGAGACTCGAAAAACTCTCGGTCACGCCTTCTCCCCATATTGTATTCGTATCTAATGCTGTTCTCTTTCGCTCTGTGCGGAGGAAAAGAAAAAAAAAAGAAAGAGAGAGAGAGAGAGAGAGAGAAAGGGAGAAAAAAGATCTCGACGAGGATAAATGTTTCGTTCCAGCGCAACGGAATTATCCGATCCCTAATTCCGAATATCGCACGCGAAATAACTGGAATAACCGTCTTACTCGTCTTACTCGTCTTCGTCGAATTCTTTTCGAACGAGTTCGAATTGTGTCAAATTGTTTCCTGTATCTATCTCGCGGGGGAAACTTGTATCTCGTTCACCTTGAATGTTAAAATAAAAAAAAGAAAGGAAGAAGAAAAGTGGAACAGAAATTACGGCTTATCTGTGAAAATTTGTTGCCCCGATCCGGCCGAGTTTACAGCTCGTAAAATAAATAAAGCACGCACGAAATGTCACGAGACGTCGTTGTTTCCAACGAAACGCGAGCGGCAAGCAGCCGCGTATTCTCCTCTCCCATTACCCGTTTTAATTCGATCGCACGAAAAGTTAATGCCGGGAAATGAATGAAACACGGCGCACGTTGCACGCACGTTTTACAAAGTGGAGAGGAACATCCTGTGTTAAACGCCCCGTCCTCCTTCTTCTTCCACGGTTCGATTGCACGAACGGATAAACTGCTCGCAATTAATTCAATTATTCGCGATCGTTCCCGTGAAACGCGCCTACTTATATAACGATCGATACCTGGCCTGGTAATTGTCGCCAGAGTTTACGGTATACGGAGATACATTCGAGGGAAAAAGGTTTCGTTTTCCTCGAAAGCGA